CTCCCGCCCGGCCTCGCACCACCCGCGGGCTAACGCCGCGCCCGCTCCTCCTCCTCCTCCTCCTCGCCGGGGTTTTTCCACTCCCAGCCGCCACCTCCCCGGCAGGACCCCCGAGCCGCCTCACCTCGCTGCCGGTGGCGGGCAGAGCCGCCGCCCCTTCACGGCCTCCCCCACGCAGCGCTCCGGGGCGGGTGCAACAGCGGCTCTCCTTGCCCTGCCGAGAGGACAGGCACGAAGCATCGGCCGGGCCCGGCGCTGTGCCGCGGCACAGCAGGCTGGGAGAGGTCTCGGGGCATAGCCCTTCCTCGGTACTCCCCCTTCGGCCGCTGTGAGGGACCAGGCCCCGAGGGGGTGGGGGTGGATCTTAGCGTGAAATGGGGGAACCTGTCACTGTCCCCGGGGCAAAACACCACCTCCTCCAGCTCCCTGGCTGGCCGCACCGAGCTCCTGAGAGCCGCCTTGCAGGAACGCTACTCCTTGGCTTTACGGGAGAAAAACAGGTGACGCTCTTCATCACCCTGATAAAGCATTAAAAAACCACCTCTCCAGCACCTGCCTTGAGTATCTGATCTCGGGGTGTCTTGGCCTGAGACGATTCACAAGTTATGAAAGCTCTTGCTGATCCCATTCACAGTGCATTTGAATGATTACAGATTAAGAAATTATTTAAAAACTAGCAAATACCCCCAGCTGTCCCTTCTGTGACAAGGCAACATGACTCCTACTGCCAAACGTGCAACCTTACGTACACATTTGAAAGAAAGGCTGGCAGCACTCACGAGAAGGGATGATGGAGTGCAAACACACTTAAACTGGGACCTGACAATGACAGGATCCACACACACACTTCTGCTTTTTCCTCTTAAGATTTCCAAGTCTTCTCCTCGCCTCTGTATCTCAGTAACTTCCCATGTTCTTTTTGTTAAGGTGAATTACTATCACCACTCCTCCAGGAGCTCACACTTCTTTTCCCTCCTGTCACTGACCTTCTCGCTCTTCACATTGCTTTTTCTTCTTCCGCCCCCTACTCCGATTTTTCTTTCCCCTTCTCCCTGTCCCCATCTCCTAGGCTGTCATACCAGAGCTCCTACTTATTTACTTCTCACCTGTCATTTCAAACATTTCTTCCCTTTTTAAAAAACCTGTAACTCCGGTTTATTGTTTTTTCCACTTTCATTCTGTCTATAAACTTCTTTCACCCTCTTTTTAACTTCAACATTTTCTCCTCCGTTTCTGCAGTTTGTTGTGGTCTGCCGTTATTTTTTTCTCTCCAGGCCAGCTCACGGTTTCTCTTCAGAGCTCCAGCCCATCCCTCACCTCGGCTCTTGAGTCACAGTGAGATCCCAGATGTACTGCACCCGTCTGCCCCTAGTGCCATCCATCACCCACTCCTCTAGGCCGAGCAAAGGCCTTGGTACGGGTTCTTCAATGCCCCGTGGTTTCTTACGTCCGTTACAGACTCCTTTGCTGCCCTTACAAGTTAACAGGTTTACATATATATATAGCATCCAGCTAAGAGCTCTGAAGATACCATGAATGAAGTAAATTGCTCACAGAAAGAGGGTATCTGCAATTAAAGCTAACAGCGACCCTACAGGACTGTGGGACAGGGGGAACAAATAAAAAGGGCAAAGAAGTTAGGATGATGGTTTGGAAATGGCAGGTTTCTGTCACTGCCAGGCAAGTCGTACGAAGTAATAACTGAGAGTACTAGAGGGAACGCAATACAAAGACTCACAAAGTCTCTGTATGCAAAGCCAAGTCTCCAATTTATTAGCCAGAAAACACCGCTTTAAACTTTGAAAAAAGAAAATTACTGAAAAGAACCCAAAGAGCTTGTAGTAAAGGACAAAAAGGTACATTTACGTAGCAGGAATTGGCAAATGGCGAAAAAACCCCGTCTCTCTTCATTGTGGTGAGAGACATGCACAACAACACTAACACCTGTGTCGTTTAAAACCACAGTTAAAAAAAAACAGAGGCAGCAAGCAGTGAATCGCCAACACCTGCAAACCGCTGACGCTCCTGATGGCGATCAGGATTAAGGAAGGACGCCTGGTGAGGTTGAACCAAGCGTTACCAGCCGGCTGCGTACCCCCCGCACGGGAGGCTGCCGGGGAGACGCCGTGGGGCAGGGGGGGGAGCCAGGCCCGAAGGGCTTCCCCTGAGCTCACCTCACCTGCGGCTCCGCTCCGCGCTCGGGACGGGCCCGGCCCG